AAGTAGATATAGTCTGGGGTTAAAGTTTGTTACACATCAATTACTTTGTCAAACCTTCATAGAGTTTTATAAAACTGTGGCAGTAGCTTTTTAATGATTAAGAGATAATGTCTGAAGCAAACCTTTGAAAATATAATTTTTCTGATAGATGGACTTCTTTTTTGTCGAGCCTGCGACTTTTGTCGCAGAAAGCTCGACATAGGGATAGTAATCCGGCGGCGGCTACGGCGGCGGCGGCGGCGTTAGCTTACTTCTTAAAAGCTTTATATTTTAGAAGGTGGAAGACCTGGATGCTTCATACTTTGTATATAGATGCCTCATGTTACAAAGTTTCTGTCAGTCACATGTCCAATGTCCTTGACCTCGTTTTCATGGTTCAGTGACTACTTGAAAAAAAAGTTCAGATTTTTTGGAATGTTAAATTCTCTCTTATTATAAGTAATAGGATAACTATATTTGGTATGTACGTACCTTGCAAGGTCCTCATGCCCGTCAGATAGTTTTCACTTGACCTCGACCTCATTTCATGGATCAGTGAACAAGGTTAAGTTTTGGTGGTCAAGTCCATATCTGAGATACTATAAGCAATAGGTCTACTATATTTGGTGTATGTAATGATAGTAAGGTGTACATGTCCAACTGGCAGGTGTCATCTGACCTTGACCTCATTTTCATGGTTCAGTGGTCATAGTTTAGTTTTTGTGTTTTGGTCGGTTTTTCTAATACTGTATGCAATAGGTCAACTGTATTTGGTGTATGGAAATATTGTACGATGTTCATGTCAGTCTGGCAAGTTTTATTTGACCTTGACCTCATTTTCACGGTTCATTGCTGAATGTTAAGTTTTTGTGTTTTGGTTTGTTTTTCTAATACTGTATGCAGTAGGTCAACTATATTTGGTGTATGGAAATATTTTACGATGTACATGTCAGTCTGGCATGTTTTCTTTGACCTTGACCTCATTTTCAAGGTTCATTGCTTATGTTAAGTTTTTGTGTTTTGGTCTGTTTTTCTTACACTTTAAGCAATAGGTCAACTATATTTGGTGTATGGAATGATTGTAAGGTGTACATGTCTAGCTGGCAGGTGTCATTTGACCTTGACCTCATTTTCATGGTTCAGTGGTCAAAGTTAAGATTTTGAGTTATGGTCTTTTTTTCTAATACTATATGCAATAGGTCAACTATATTTGGTGTATGGAAATATTTTATGATCTTTATGTCAGTCGCGCAGGTTTTATTTGACCTTGACCTCATTTTCACAGTTCATTACTCAGTGTTAAGTTTTTGTGTTTTGGTCTGTTTTTCTAAAACTATAAGCAATAGGTCAACTATATTTGTTGTATGGAAGAATTGTTAGCTGTACATGCCTGCCTGTCATGGTTCATCTGACCTTGACCTCATTTTCATGGTTCATTGGTCAATGTTTAGTTTTCTTGGTTAATGTTAAGTTTATGTGACAGTTGTAATAAAGCTTTATATTTAGGACTATCAACATAATATCAATGATTAGTAAAGAAGGCGAGACATTTCAGCGTGTGCACTCTTGTTTACAGTTAACATTTAAAGACAGTCTGGGATAACAAAAAATTTTACATGATAAATTTGTAAACCTTCATGGATTGTTATGAAACTTGTGCAGAACCAAGACCAAAAAGTAGCATCTAAAGAAAAAGTTTGATTTTTTTTTTAAATTCTGTATTTTACTGACAAATGGACTCACTTTTTAAGTCAACATTACACTTTAACACTGACAGCAACAATCATAAACCCTGTATACAACTGCAGGCAAGATTTTACCTATTTAATCTTTAAAAAATCTAAACTGTACGACTTTAAACCTTTTAATTCTCATAAAAAAATATTTTTTTTTAAGATGAAAGTAATATTTCCGATGACGATCTGCTATGATGAAGTGTTCATTTTATCTCCTCATTATTCTCATACGGAAAAAAATAATTTTATATTGGGCTTGCTGTTCATAAGAATTTATTCTAAAATTCAAAGTACATTTAAATAGTTTGTGTTTATGTAACTGTTTTCTTTTAGTGACATGTTTATGGCCCTATTTAACACCTTTGATGATCTTTAATCTGTTGATCATTCGATCTCGGGTAAATAACGGTCATCACTTCTGATTACACGTATGGAACAATTCAAATGTATACTTTGCAATTTCCTTCAATCGAGACAATTTGTAAGCATATATGAATCAGCTTATTTCAGAAAGCAATTATTTTATATTTCAAATTTGTTGAATGTTGCCAGTTATGAGAAGACGAACAAGTAAGTGAAAATGAACACCTTATTTTGCAATGACCACAAATCATTATAAAAAACAGATGATTATTATAAAGAATCTTTATTACCGATGGCTTCAAATTCTTCACTTGAGAAAACTAAATTCCATGAATTTAAGAACCCACGAACATGTAACTTTTTGCTCAAACCACGAAAATTGATGACCACGAATAAAATTACTTTCACAGTAAAAATAATAATGATAAATTCTTTATTTTTAAAAGGTAACAAAGTTAGTTGACAAAAAAATTAATCCACTATGTGACCTGCTACATCTTCATATAAGATGACACAATTTTTAAAAGATAAAAATACATACGAAAGAGTAAAAGATGCAAAAACATCAAGAACTAAACAAAGAAATCTACTGCACACACAGTAACTGTGCAAGGCCTGTAAAAATTGCTCCCTGAAGATAGCAGACAAATGAGATTTTCATTTTCCATGAAGTTTTACATTTATGAAAGCAAAAGAAACTATTAATGACACACAATTAAACACTCTTTTACATCAAGTAGTCAAAAGAAATTCAAGAAAAGAAGAAATGACTTTTTATGCCCCCGCCGTAGCGGAGGGGGCATTAAGTTTTACCCTTGTCCGTCTGTACATACGTACGTACGTCCCAAAATTGGTTTCCGTTCTCTAACTTGAGTTTGCCTCAACCAATTGTTATAAAACTTATACACAATGCTTATTACCACAAATTACAGATCAAGTTTGAAATTGGTGGCGTCACTTTAACCGTTCTAGAGTTATGCCCCTTTTCAAATGAAAATTGCTGAATTTTTCATTTCCGTTCTCTAACTTTAGTTTTCCTCAACCAAATGGTATGAGACTTATACACAATGCTTATTACCACAAAACACAGATCAAGTTTGAATTTTGGTGGCGTCACTTTAACCGTTCTAGAGTTATGCCCCTTTATAAATAGAAAAATTGCGAAATTTTTATTTTCTTCTAAATATCAAGTAATTTTTAAAATTGGAGTTATCTTCCTTTGTCCATGATTATAGTTGAATCAACTACAATCAATGCTTTATACAATGCAATGTTTAATTTTGACTTCCACTGATAAAACACAGATCAAGTTGAATTTTGGTAGTGTCACTTTAACCATTATTGAGTTATGCCCCTTTATGAATCGAAAGATTGCAAAATTTTTAGTTTCCATTCTGTTACTTAAGTCTGCCCCAACCAAACATTATGAAACCTATACACAATATTCATAACCACAAAACTAAGATCAAGTACAAATTTTTTGTTTCTGTTTTCCAACTTTAGTTTGTCCAACCAAATGTTATAACTTATACCCAATGCTTATTACTACATAATACAGATTAAGTACGAAATTTGGTGGCGACACTTTTACCATTCTTGAGTTTTGTCCCTTTATAAACATAAAAATTGCTGAATTTTTAGTTTCTGTTCTCTACTTAAATTAGCCTCAACCAAATGTTATGAGACTTACACACAATGCCTATTACCACAAAACTCAGATCAAGTTCAAATTTGGGTAGGGTCACTTTTACCGTTCTTCAGTTATGTCCCTTTATAACTATATGATATGCAAGCGGGGGCATCATCTGTGTCCTCATGTGGACACTATCCACATTTATTTACTTCTGTAAGTAAAACAAAAATCTAAATGTCTAAGGGATATAACTCTACCTCCAAAATAATTCACCTGTACATATAGATAAAAAAACACTTGTATAAGTATTACACCTGATTGCCATGGTTGCGGGTCACTTTAATAATGTTATCAATTAAAGACATTTTAGTTTATAACATCATCTTTTTAGCAGGTTGGGACCAATCACCCTAAAGTAATTGGATGTAATAACCTGTTTTGGGTATAATATCCCAAGCCTTCATTATCTTTTAATACTACTGTAAACAGGGAAATTTTCGCATCAGTTTTATTTTCGCTATTTTCGCGGTAAGAGTTGAAAGGCGAAAATAAAATGAACACAAATATTTCAAGGAAATCCAAACATAACCAAAAAGACCATACAAAAGACTGGGACAAAATATGCACAGCAGAAAATCATGTGATGTTTTATTATAGCAAAATTTGCTGCATGAGAAGTTTCCCAAAACTTAAAAGCCACTTAAAACTTTGATAGCATTTTATAAATGTATGTAAACATGGTAAAAGTGTGCATCATTTCCTGGAATTCTAAAAATAAATCTTGGAATTTTGTCCATTGTTCAACAATCGCAATAATAAATGCAAACAGAAATTTATGACTTTACAGTACATTGTATAACAAATAATTGGTATAACACCAGAATACCAACTCTATAAACATGCTACAAATGTACCAAACATTAATTAAGTTGCTTAAACCAAAAATATGAGCGAACTTTATTGATTTTCTCAATAAACATGCACTATTAAAAACAATATCAGAGAACCTGACCTTTGCCTGAGGGAGTTTGACTCTCCATCTCCATCAGGTGACATTGGCATTTACAGGGGAACACATTTAAAATTTGTGTTGTAACCAACTTCAGTATTGGATTTGAAAAAGTAAATTTAATGTTTTTTATTCTTGTAATAATTAAAAACATTTATTTACTTTATCAAACATTATTTACAATGTTATGATTCATTCCATATTGTTAGCATCATTTAGCATTTGTTAAAAGAAAGTCTCCAATTGAGGGTAGATATGCTTACTTTATTTACCATTACAGAAGCCATGTCACTTTTGGATTATTGAATGCAAATGAAATCCAACAGCTAGCTCATCTACATGTAGTTAGTAAGAATTTGTACAATCAAGATGGACACCATAAACCAGTTCAACATGGAGTTCTGGACCACAAAATGGTAAGTACTGTTTAATATTGAGATTTGGACCACTAAATGTTCAACATGGAGGTCTGGATCATGTAATAGTAAGGCTTGTTCAACATGGAGGTGTAGATCATGTAATTGTAAGTCTTGTTCAACATGGAGGTCTGGATCATGTAATTGTAAGTTTTGTTCAACATGGAGGTCTGGATCATGTAATTGTAAGTCTTGTTCAACATGGAGGTCTGGATCATGTAATTGTAAGTTTTGTTCAACATGGAGGTCTGGATCATGTAATGGTAAGTCTTGTTCAACATGGATGTCTGGATCATGTAATTGTAAGTCTTGTTCAACATGGATGTCTGGATCATGTAATGGTAAGTCTTGTTCAACACGGAGGTCTGGATCATGTAATGGTAAGTTTTATTCAACTTGGAGGTCTGGATTATGTTATTGTACCGGTAAGTCTTGTTCTACATGGAGGTCTGGATCGTGTAATTGTAAGTTTTGTTCAACATGGAGGTCTAGATCATTTAATTGTAAGTCTTGTTCTACATGGAGTTCTGGATCATATAATGGTAAGTCTTATTCAACTTGAAGGTCTGGATTATGTAATGGTAAGTCTTGTTCAACTTGAAGGTCTGGATCATGTATTTGTAAGTATTGTTCAACATGGAGGTCTGGATCATGTAATTGTAAGTTTTATTCAACATTGATGTCTGGATCATGTAATTGTAAGTCTTGTTCAACATGGAGGTCTTGATCATGTAATTGTAAGTCTTGTTCAACATGAAGGTCTGGATCATGTAATTGTAAGTCTTGTTCAACATGGAGGTCTGGATCATGTAATTGTAAGTCTTGTTCAACATGAAGGTCTGGATCATGTAATTGTAAGTCTTGTTCAACATGGAGGTCTGGATCATGTAATTGTAAGTCTTGTTCAACATGGAGGTCTGGATCATGTAATTGTAAATCTTGTTCAACATGGAGGTCTGGATCATGTAATTGTAAGTCTTGTTCAACATGGAGGTCTGGACCATGTAATTGTAAGTCTTGCTCACCATGAAGGTCTGGATCATGTAATTGTAAGTCTTATTCATCAGAAAACTTTGTACAACAGAATGGTAAATCCTATTTATCATGAAGTTAAGGACCACAGTATGCAAAGTCCAATTCAAAATTCAGTTCTGTACCATGGAATGGTAAGTCCTGTTCAGCATTGAGTTCAGTACCAGTATCCTAGACAAGGTAGAGTTTATGGACTACAGAAACATAAAGATTTGTTTGTTAAGGAGTTGAGTATCAGAGATGGGTAAGTTCTTTTCAGAATGAAGTTACAGGCTTCTAAATTATAAGTCTTATATTTGTTTAACATAAATGTATGGGCTTATTGAAAAAAAGCCACTAAGGTGGTACATAACACTACAGGGAGATAACCCTATAAAAATCAGCTGAATGTTTTAATCAGTCCTATTGTTAACGAAATATTAAGTTTCTCAATGATCAAAAATAAGTGTTTGTCAAACTGCTATATATCCAATGAAATTTTTCCGATAAAGTGTGTGGTTCAAGTTTTTTGAATTTTTTATATTTTTGTCAAAATTTTATGAAACTTAAATGAGCCAAATTAATTTTAGTCGAGCTGTTTGGTACCACCTTAACATGTCCATTAATGGTTAAGATCAGTAAATAATCATTCATAATTAGCAAAAATGTAAACAACATTGTAGGTTAGGTAAATATGATACTGTGTAATCTTATTTTAGTCCTGTATGTTAATAATGTTATTTTCAATAGGGTTCAGTTGAATTCTAACAGAGATATTTAATTTTTCTGAAAATGTTATTTCTGGTTGCATAATATTAACACATTTTCCAGTATCTTTAAATTTTGAATATACACATGTATATTCTAATTGTTCTTATAAACTGTAATATTGTATAAACAGAAACTGGTATATATTGTTGTTTTAAGACTGATATCATTTGTAAAGATGTCTATAACCATTCAGTTTTCTGTTGAGAGTAGTGCTGATCAGTCTGTATATATTAGAGTGATGTTGTTCATTTATGAATTTGTGTATTCTATAAGAGACCTTATTAGTTACATAAGAAAGATTCATCATGTGGCTAATGTTTTATTTTTATACGACCGCAAAAATTAAAAATTTTTTTGTCGTATATTGGTATGACGTTGGCGTCGTCGTTTGTCGTCGGCGTCGTCTGGCGTCGTCCGGCGTCGTCCGAAGACACATTGGTTTTCGCACTCTAACTTTAGTTTAAGTGAATGGATCTCCATGAAATTTTACCATAAGGTTCAATACCACGAAAGGAAGGTTGGGATTGATTTTGGGGGTTATGGTACCAACAGTTAAGGAATTAGGGAAAAGATTCATCATGTGGCTAATGTTTTATTTTTATACGACCGCAAAAATTAAAAATTTTTTGGTCGTATATTGGTATGACGTTGGCGTCGTCGTTTGTCGTCGTCGTCGTCTGGCGTCGTCCGGCGTCGTCCGAAGACACATTGGTTTTCGCACTCTAACTTTATTTTAAGTGAATGGATCTCCATGAAATTTTACCATAAGGTTCAATACCACGAAAGGAAGGTTGGGATTGATTTTGGGGGTTATGGTACCAACAGTTAAGGAATTAGGGGCCAAAAAGGGGCCAAAAATAAGCATTTTTGTAACTTCCAGACAATAACTTGTGTGTAAGTGTATGGATCTCTCTGACATTGTACCACAAGGTTCCTTATCACAAAGGGAAGGCTGTAATTGATTTTGGGGGTAATTGCCTCAAAATTTTAGGAATTAGGGGCCAAAAAAGGGGCAAAAAACAAGCATTTTTCTAGTTTCATGACAATAACTTGTGTGTAAGTGTTTGGATATTTCTGAAATTGTACTACAAGGTTCCATATCACAAAGGGAAAGCTGGAATTGAGTTTGGGGGTAATTGCCCTAAACGTTTAGGAATTGGGGGCCAAAAAGGGGCCAAAAATAAGCATTTTTCTAGTTTCCAGACAATAACTTGTGTTCAAGTGTATGGATCTCTCTGAAATTGTACTGCAAGGTACCATACCACAAAGGGAAGGCTGGGATTGAGTTTGGGGGTGATGAATCATAAGGGGGTTCAAAAAATTTGGGGGGGGGATTTTTTTTTTTCTTTTTTTTTCTTTTTTTCCTTTTTTTTTTTCTTTTAATATTTTCCATTTTAAGTTGGTTATTTCTGATTAATATTTAAAAGCAAATAATAATGATATGGTAGGAGATACACACTAAACAGGATGTGTAAATTATTATATAATAAGTATTGTGCAATAGCAAGAAATTTTCAATTGCACAGTATTGCACAATAGCAAGAAATCTTCAATTGCACAGTATTGCGCAATAACAAGAAATCTTCAATTGCACAGTATTGCGCATTAGCAAGAAATATCCAATAGCACAATATTGCGCAATAGCAAGAAATTGTCAATTGTACAGTATTGCGCAATAGCAAGAAATATTCAATTGCACAGTATTGTGCAAAAGAAGATACTTCGTATAAATTGCTTATTTCTTGATCAATTTCAATGGGGTTTTATTCTTGAATTCCTGGGGTTCTTTAATATGCTGAATCTAATCGTGTATTAAGTTTTTGGATTTTGGGCCCCGTTTTTAAATTGGTCCACATTGAGGTCCAAAGGGTCCAAAATTTAACTTTGTTTGATTTCATCAAAAATTTAATTATTGGGGTTCTTTGATATGCCGAATCTAACCGTGTATTTAGATTCTTAATTTTTGGTTCCGTTTTCAAATTGGTCTACATTTAGGTCCAAAGGGTCCAAAATTAAACTTAGTTTGTTTTTAACAAAAATTTAATTTTTAGGGTTCTTTGATATGCTGAATCTAAACATGTATTTAGATTTTTGATTATGGGCCCAGTTTTCAAGTTGGTCCAAATCGGGGTCCAAAATTAAATTTGTTTGATTTCAACAAAAATTGAATATATGGGGTTCTTTGATATGCTGAATCTAACCATGCATTTAGATTTTTGATTTTTGGTCCCCGTTATCAACTTTGTCCACATTGAGGTCATAAGGGTCCAAAATTAAACTTTGTTTGATTTCATCAAAAAGTGAATTCTTGGGGTTCTTTGATATGCTGAATCTAACCATGTATTTAGATTTTGGATATTGGACCATAATAGGTGAATGTCCAATTTAAAATTTTTAAGTTCTTAGACCACATTCATTCTGTGTCAGAAACCTATGCTGTGTCAAATATTTAATCACAATCCAAATTCAGAGCTGTATCAAGCTTGAATATTGTGTCCATACTTGCCCCAACTGTTCAGGGTTCGACCTCTGCGGTCGTATCAAGCTGCGCCCTGCGGAGCATTTTATTGGTGTATGGAATGATTGTAATGTATTTTTTTACTGTATAGATACATATTTGAATCTTACAGGGTACCAGTGAGAAGGACAATAGCTGTGAAACATGTGGAAAAGGATTGGCTGATTGTGTTGGTCACTATGGTTATATTGACCTTGAACTGCCATGTTTCCATATTGGCTATTTCAGAGCTACCATAATGGCACTTCAGACCATATGTAAGGTAACCATTCAACACATTCAACAATTAAAATTCAACTCACTATGCAAGTAACATGAATGTACTTTTATTAGTTAGTTTAAGAAAAATTTCTGGAAAATAACTACTGGTATTATAGAATTGAATGCTGGTTTTTTTTAGTTCACCTTTCCAAAGGAAATGTGAGCTTTTGCCATGCCATCACTTGGCATCCGTCGTCGTCATTGCCGTCTGTCCCGTGTAAACTATTTCAAACATCTTTTCCTCTGAAACTAATGAACCAATTCCAACCAAACTTAAGCTTAATGATCCTTAGGGTATCTAGAATAAAGTAGTGTTTTATTTTATGTTTCGTCAAAAAACATGGCAGCCACGGCTAAAAATAGAACATAGGGGTAAAATTCAGTTTTTGGCTTATATCTTAGAAACTAAAGCATTTAGAGAAAATCTGACTGGGGTTAAAATGTTCATTAGGCCAAGATCCATCAGCCCTGAAATTTTCAGATGAATCTAACAACCCATTGTTGATTTGCTGCTACTAAATTGGTAATTTTAAGGAAACTTTGCAGTTTTTATACGACCGCAAAAAAATTTTTGTGGTCGTATATTGGTATGACGTTGGCGTCGTCGTCGTCGTCCGGCGTCGTCGTCCGAAAACGCATTAGTTTTCGCACTCTAACTTTAGTTTAAGTGAATGGATCTCTATGAAATTTTACCATAAGGTTCAATACCACAAAAGGAAGGTGGGGATTGATTTTGGGGGTTATGGTACCAACAGTTAAGGAATTAGGGGCCAAAAAGGGGCCAAAAATAAGCATTTTCTAGTTTCCAGACAATAACTGTGGAACGGTGTATGGATCTCTCTGAAATTATACTACAAGTTTCCATACCACAAAGGGATGGTTAGGATTTGCTTTGGGGGGTTATTGCTCAAACCGTTTAAGAATTAGGGGCAAAAAAGGGGGAAAAACAAGGTTGTCCTCATTAATGGACAAATACTTTAGTACAAAACATAATTTAAAGCAGTGTAAGGGAGATAAATCAAATACATCATTGAAATTATCTCCCTTACACTGCTTTTAAATTAAGTATAAAGTAATGGTTAATGAACAATTAAGATAATTTAAAACAGTGTAAGGGAGGTAATCCAAATACAACGTTTTGGTTACTTCCCTTACACTGCTTTTAAATTATGTTTAAAGAAATGCATATTTATAAAGGAAGACCAGTATGGTGCATTAGATTTGTAAAATCTTTGACCACATTTATTTATTTGTTATGCCGAATCTAACCGTGTATTTAGATTTTTAATATTGGGTCAAGTTTTCAAATTGGTCTACATTAAGGTCCAAAGGGTCCAAAATTAAACTTTGTTTGATTTTAACAAAAATTGAATATATGGGGTTCTTTGATATGCTGAATCTAAATATGTATTTAGATTTTTGATTTTTGGCCCAGTTTTCAAGTTGGTTCAAATTGGGGTCCAAAATTAAATTTTGTTTGATTTCAACAAAAATTGAATATATGGGGTTCTTTGATATGCTGAATCTAACCATGTATTTAGATTTTTTATTTGTGGACCCCGCTATCAAATTGGTTCATATTGAGGTCAAAAGGGTCCAAAATTAAACTTTGTTTGATTTCATCAAAAATTGAATTATTGGGGTTCTTTGGTATGCCAAATCTAACCGTGTATTTAGATTTTTAATTTTGGGTCCCGTTTTTTAAATTGGTCTTCATTAAGGTCCAAAGGGTCCAAAATTAAACTTAGTTTGATTTTAACAAAAATTGAATTCTTGGGGTTCTTTGATATGCTGAATCTAAACATGTGTTTAGATTTTTGATTATGGGCCCAGTTTTCAAGTTGGTCCAAGTTGGGGTCCAAAATTAAACTTTGTTTGATTTCAACAAAAATTGAATATATGGGGTTCTTTGATATGCTGAATCTAAACATGTATTTAGATTTTAGATTTTTGGCCCAGTTTTTAAGTTGGTCCAAATTGGGGTCCAAAATTAAACTTTGTTTGATTTCAACAAAAATTGAATATATGGGGTTCTTTGATATGCTGAATCTAACCATGTATTTAGATTTTTTATTTGTGGGCCCGCTATCAAATTGGTTCATATTGAGGTCAAAAGAGTCCAAAATTAAACTTTGTTTGATTTCATCAAAAATTGAATTATTGGGGTTCTTTGATATGCCAAATCTAACCGTGTATTTAGATTTTTAATTTTGGGTCCCGTTTTTTAAATTGGTCTACATTAAGGTCCAAAGGGTCCAAAATTAAACTTAGTTTGATTTTGACAAAAAATGAATTTTTGGGGTTCTTTAATATGCTGAATCTAAACATGTGTTTAGATTTTTGATTATGGGCCCAGTTTTCAAGTTGGTCCAAGTTGGGGTCCAAAATTAAACTTTGTTTGATTTCAACAAAAATTGAATATATGGGGTTCTTTGATATGCTGAATCTAAACATGTATTTAGATTTTAGATTTTTGGCCCAGTTTTCAAGTTGGTCCAAATTGGGGTCCAAAATTAAACTTTGTTTGATTTCAACAAAAATTGAATATATGGGGTTCTTTGATATGCTGAATCTTACCATGTATTTAGATTTTTTATTTGTGGGCCCACTATCAAATTGGTTCATATTGAGGTCAAAAGGGTCCAAAATTAAACTTTGTTTGATTTCATCAAAAATTGAATTATTGGGGTTCTTTGATATGCCAAATCTAACCGTGTTTTTAGATTTTTAATTTTGGGTCCCGTTTTTTAAATTGGTCTACATTAAGGTCCAAAGGGTCCAAAATTAAACTTAGTTTGATTTTAACAAAAATTGAATTCTTGGGGTACTTTGATATGCTGAATCTAAACATGTGTTTGGATTTTTGATTATGGGCCCAGTTTTCAAGTTGGTCCAAGTTGGGGTCCAAAATTAAACTTTGTTTGATTTCAACAAAAATTGAATATATGGGGTTCTTTGATATGCTGAATCTAACCATGTATTTTGATTTTGGACATTGGACCATAATAGGTAAATTAAAAAAATTGAAGTTCTTAGACCACATTCTTTCTGTGTCAGAAACCTATGCTGTGTCAAATATTTAATCACAATCCAAATTCAGAGCTGTATCAAGCTTGAATGTTGTGTCCATACTTGCCCCAACTGTTCAGGGTTCGACCTCTGCAGTCGTATCAAGCTGCGCCCAGCGAAGCATTTTATTGGTTGTTATCTTGAATATTATTATAGATAAAGATATACTGTAAACAGCAAAAATGTTCAGCAAAGTAAGATCTACAAATAAGTTTAATATGACCAAAATTGTCAATTTACCTCTTAAGGAGTTATTGCCCTTTAAGGACAATTTTTCACAATTTGTTTATCATGTTTTCTAACTTTAAAAAATCTTCTCCTCTAAAACTACTGAACCAAATTAAACCAAGCTTAAGCTGAATGATTCTTAGGTTATCTACAATAAAGTTTGTGTTTTATTTTCTGTTTCCTCAGAAAACATGGCCGCCATGGCTAAAAATAGAACATAGAGTAAAATGCAGTTTTTATACGCCCGTTTACGGGACGTATTATGGTATACCCTTGTCTGTCCGTCTGTCCATCCGTCGTCAACATGTCCGATAATAACTAAAAAACGCTTTAAACAATTTGCATGAAACTTTGATGAATTGTTTATATCTATTGACGTGAGCTCCCTTTCAATTTTTATAAATTTTGGATTTTACGTTTCCGAGTTATGGGTTTTATTCATTAAAAAAGGGGGATTTTCTAATTTTCAGACAATAACTAAAAAATGCTTTGAGCAGTTTTCATGAAACTTTGGGGAATTGTTTATATCTATTGACGTGAGCTCCCTTTCGATTTTTATAAATTTTCGATTTTACGTTTCTGAGTTATATTGTTTTATTCAATTAAAAAAGTGGGATTTTCCACTTTTCGGACAATTACTCAAAAGTTCTTTGAGCAGTTTTTATGAAACTTTGGTGACTGGTTTATATCTATTAAAATAACCTCCATTTAGTTTTTTATAAATTTCTGGTATGACTTTGAGGAGCAATAGAACTTTATTCTTTGAAAAAGCAACGGGCATATCATGAGCTCAAGGCGCAGCTGTTTATTTACTTATATCTCAAAAACTAAAGCATTTAGAGCAATTCAGACAAGAAGTTAAAGTATTCATTAGGTCTACCTGCCCTGAAATTATCTGCCAAATCGGGTATCTTTTGCCCTTAATTTTCTTAAAATCATCAATTGCCCCTGGATTGATGATTTTAAGGAAATTTTGCAGTTTTCGGTTATTATCTTGAATATTATTATAGATAAAGATAAACTGTAGACAGCAAAAATGTTCATCAAAGTAAGATCTACAAATAAGTTTTATATGACCAAAATTGTCAATTGACATCTTAAGGAGTTATTGCCCTTTAAAGACAATTTTTCACAATTTGTTCATCTAGTTTGCTTACTTTAAAAAATCTTCTCCTTTGAAACTGCTGAATCAATTTCAGCCAAACTTGGGCTGAATGAGTTTTTCAGAGTATCTAGTATAAATTTTGTATTTTATTTCCTTGTACGTCAAGAAACATAGCCACTATGGCTAAAATGGAACATAGGGGTAAAATGCATTATTTTGCTTTTGAAGAAAATATGACAGATACAAAGAACATTTAAATGGCATTTTTAAGCCACTCATTAATATATATTGAAAAGCAAAAATAATCATTGAAAGATTTAAACCAAAAATTACAGGTGAGCGATTCAGGCTCTTGAGAGCCTCTTGTTTAAAATTATATACAAAATGAAAGCATTTGTAACATTCACATTTTCCTTGAAGCTCAGAAGCATTCAAGTCTATTAACAAAAATTAAAAAAATGTATGTTATTAACATTTTTAATCTAAAAGTTTAACTTAAAAAAAAACTTCTGCAAAAACTGTCTATTGGGATGTAAGCAGTATCATTCCACATGAATTGTACGACATATAGCTCAAATTGGCATTATGAAGAGGTTGAT